CTGAGAGCTGAGAAACTTATAAGAGTTATCTTTGAATTATAAGATCTTTCTGAAACTTGAAGAAGATTTACAGAAACTATAATTATTATAAATATCACAGATAATATGTACTTAAGACTTGTACAACTTTAAAGATATAATTCACATATAGTTATCTATAAGTCAGATTTATACTTTTAATCAGTGTTGACAGACTTACTTATAAAGATAGAATTAGTTAATACTATAGAGTTAATTAGAGAAGATAAGCTTATTTATATAATAACTTTATAAATGTCTAAGAACTTTACAGTTATAAAACCTGAGCTTTAAATATCAGAGAAATCCTGAGATCTCATAGGGATATTCAGTTTAGCTAAGATAGCTAAGCTTTTATCTTACTATAAGAAGAATCTGATAATAGATTTAATAGAAGAGTAGAAACTCTTCTGAGAATTAATCTATAAGCTCTCTCATCATGAGACAGAGATCTTATAAGCTTATATAGAGAAGAATTTAAAGAATAACTTTATTCAATCTTCACAGATCTCTATGAAAGTCTCTGTAATATTTATAAAGAAGAAGAATAAAGATCTCAGATTATATATAAACTATTATAATCTAAACTTTAAGATAATAAAGAGTCACTATTTCCTGTCTCTGATTAAGAATGTAATTAATTATCTCACAGAAGCTATTATATTCATATAACTGAATATAATTAATATATATATATAACTGTAAATACAGTCTGAAAATGAATGAAAGACTGTCTTTAAAACTGTATTAAGATTATTTGAATATTTAGTGATGTCTTTTGATTTAATTAATATTCTTACAGTATTTCAGTCTTTTATTAATAAAATACTTTATATATATCTGAATATGTTTATAATAATATATCTGAATAATATGATAATGTACTTTATAAAGAAGAAAGAATACACTGAGTATATATAAACTATATTAAAGATCTTAGATGAGACAGAACTATATATTAAGTTTATAAAGTATAACTTCAGTATCTATTGAATTAATTTTCTAAAATATATAATTACTGTGAATAGTATTCAGATGAAATTCTTATAAGTTGAGATTATTCTATTATAACTGAAGTTAACTAGTATTTATAAGATTCAGATCTTTCTGAGCTTTGTGAATTTTTATAGATAATTTAACTTTATATTTATAAGAATCTTCTTAACTCTTATAAACATACTGAAGAGTGAAAATAAGAAGAAGTTATTCTATAAATAAAGAATGAAAAGATTATTAAGAAGAGAGAGCTGTAAAAACTTTCTTATTTCAGAAGCTTACAGAGTCTTTATAAGATTAAAATAGATATTCACAGATACAGTAATACTATTTCACTTTAATTTCTTACTCTTTATTATATTAAAGACAGATATCTTCTTCTTTATAATTTCAGAAATAGTCTTATAACTACAGTTAAATAAAAAATGAGTTTCAGTAATCTTTTTCTCATAGAAGATACAATTTATATAGATTAACTATAATATTTATAATCAGAAGCTTCTTATAATAGTGAAATTCTTTTGTTACTGATATTACTACTTTGAAAGTCTTATAACAGTGATTACTGTTAGAACTGATTATAATAGCTTATAATAGTTTACTTTAATTAAGAAACTCTCACAGTGACAAATCTACTAAGCTCAGAGACTAAGTAAATTCTGATTTAATATAAAGTATATTAAGAGAACTAAGAACTCAGTGAACAGACTCTCTCACAGACTGAACTATGTTAAGAAGATCAGAGTGATAGATACAGAGAGACTAGAGAAAATAGAAAAGCTTCATAGAATACTTGAACTGAGTGTTCTACAGAAATTAATTAAAGAGTCTCTTAATTCTCTATAAGAGAAGAGAGAGAAGAGAGAGAAGAAGTCTGTATAACTACTCTCTATAATACTGAGAGTTAACACTCTGAGAATTGTTATAAGAATTCTTGAAGAGAGTATCTATAATCTGAAGAATTTGCAGACTTTAAGAAGT